GATAGATAGATAGATAGATAGATAGATAGATAGATAGATAGATAGATTCAGGTTGTTTTGGTTTTCAGTTTGCATTGGGAGTGATTTAAAGCCACACACACACCGGACCTGCTCGCCACTGCTGCTAGAGGGCTACTGTCCCTTTAAATATCCCTTCCAGACTGTTGCCTCGGTAACCCGGAAGCCTCACGCGCCACACACCACTGTAACGAGAGTCCTTCCTGTTTTAGAAATTTCAAGGAAGTAGGAACAACAGGACAGTCGCAAAATACAAACATGGTGCGTGAGTGGAACAAGACGTCTGCATGCATCTGTTGTGAGCAGCTGGCGCTTTCTGGAGCTCCCTGCGTCGTGTGGTTGGACTGCTCGTCTTAATAAACACACGAATATGATCATTTACCCGCTCGAAGAAGCGACATGAGTTCTGTTTACGAGTCTGAAACATTAAACATATGTTGTACAGATAATACCGGAACACTCTGGGCTGGTTGAGCGCGTTGAAATACATCTATAGATATATATTTGCTGGTTTCAAAACAAATACTATTTGTGCTTGTTTTGACGCGGTTGCTGCACGTGCTTCACTAGTCTTTACCATAACTAACCGCAGATAAACTTCTCTATTGTTTACATGTGTAAGTTAGCTTGCACACAACGCTCCTGCATGTTTGCAACAAGTTGGACAACTAATACTGTTTTAAAAGGAGTTGGACTTTTAGAGCCACGTGTAATTGTGTTATAACACGTTCTGCAGCGTCCATGCTTTGATGCACTTTCTTGAACCCGTTGTGTGTGTCAGGATTCGACCAAGTGGCCTGTGTGAGGTGGGGGGTGACCCATGCTCTCTCATCTTTGTGCTGCTGCTTCAGCCTTACTGTGGATCACCATGGCCCAGGTGGCTGGCCAGGAGGACAGGGAGAAAACAACTGCACTCAAAGGTGAATTAGCATTTGCAGCTGGATTATTTTAAATCAGCTGGGCGAAGACAAAGGTAGAAGTGTAGACAAGTGATGAAGACAGGGGCTTACAGTCACAGTGCTAACAGTTAGCACAATCTCACGTTTACTGGTGTTTTTAACAGATGGCACCATAAACTTCCAAACAAGGGATTGCCCACTATTTAACACCTATAATTTATCATTTTCAGCTGATTGACTGACTTTGTTCATCACATTTGAGTATTGGAAGATAAACAATGTAGTTTTGTTTACCTCAGTTATGTGGTTTAGCTGCGGGATCTGAGCAGGGCATTTGATTGGTGCCCTGGCAGACATAATGCTTGAAAATGGTGTGACTCACGTCTACTCGGAGCACATGTCAACTCACTGCACAGTCACTGCAAACTCCCACTGCCATGACAACTGACCACACTGGTTAATGAAAACCACTGCACAATCACTAACTGTTTGATTGATTGATTGATTGATTGATTGATTGATTGATTGATTGATTGATTGATTTTTATTGTCAATTCTGCATATGTACAGGACATACATAGAAATTGAAATTGCGTTACACTCCTACTCAATTTGCAGCAAACAACAACATTAGCAAAAATAAACTAACACAACTAGTTATATAAAAAAATATAAAAAAATATAAAAGTGAACAGCAGCAGGACCTCTGATGCAACGTGCTCAATAGTGACTAACAGGAGACAAAGGGACGCTGACTGAAGACAATAACATGATGAGAGGTAGATAATGGATGTGCAAGGCCAGAGTAAACAATAGTGCAATATAAAGTATAAACCTGAGAAACTTAGTAAAGTGAAGGTGTGCATACCGGTTCTATATAGTCACAGTTATGTACTGATGAGGTGATTAGGTGGAAGTGGAAATGACAATATTGATAATGATTCACTGCACTGTTCACTGCTAATCCTGGTCATATAGGTTAATAAATGTCTATATGATGGACAGTGGTGCTTGAATGTTTGTGAACATACTTTTGCCACTCACAAATATGTAATATTGGATCATTTTTCTCAATAAATAAATGACAAACTATAATACTTTTGTCTCACTTGTTTAACTGGGTTTTCTTGTAGGACTTTTGTGAAAATCTGATGATGTTTTAGGTCATATTTATGCAGAAATATAGACAATTCTAAAGGCTTCACAAACATTCAAGCGCAACTGTATTTAACCAATTTAACCGATTTAACTGATCTGTCTCACTTTGACTGGCAACTTATTCTATTAATTGATGACGTGAACTCCGCTTGGAACTATTTTCATAATAGTTTCATTTATTTTGTGAACAAACATGCTCCTTTTCGTCAGTTCAGAATAAAGGGACGAGACAGCCCCTGGTTTACTCCAGAGCTAGCTGACCTCCTGCACAGGAGAGATCATCTTTGGGCTGCAGCGAGAAAATCTGACTCAGACACTGATTGGTTGCGTTTTTGACAGATGAGGAATAAATGCACAACTGCTGTCAAAGCAGCAAAATGCAACTATTTCTTATCTCAGACCTCCAAAAATCTAAATGACCCCAACAGATTCTGGAAAACCATCAAATCTCTCTCAGGCACTATTAATGAAGATTTGTTCCACCTCAAACTTGTCCTAAATGCCGACAAAACCAAAGAGATGCATTTTTCAAATAGGAAGTTGGTCCCAGCAGTTCTTTCTCTGATTTCATCCTCAAATGGTGTCCCCATTGAGTTTCCTTCCCTCCATTGATTACGGTGACATTATTTACATGAACGCTCCTACAAGAACCCTGCAGATGTTGGATGCTGCATCATGGTGCACTAAGATTCATAACTGGCTGTGATTATCGTACCCACCACTGCACCCTGTATTCACTGGTTAACTGGACATCAATAACTTCACGCAGACTCTCACTGGTACATTTTCATCTTTAAATCACTTCTTGGTCTGCTGCCTTCATACATCTCCTCCTACATGTCTCTGCATGAGTGCAGCTACAGCGTGCGCTCTCAGGACATTATTACCCGCAGTGTTCCCTCAGTGCAAACTGAACTAGGCAAAAGGGCCTTCTCCTACTCCGCTCTGTTTCCTGGAATATCTTACAAAAATATCTGAAGCTCTTGACCTTGACCTCTCTAAGTGGCTTTAAGAATCTGTTGGACTCCTGGCAAGGACCAATGCAGACATGTTCCTGTTTTTAGTTTTCTACATTCGCCTTAGAATCTAGCTGTTTTTGTTACTTTTCTTTTCTTTTCTTTTTTTTTAGCCATCCTATTTGTTAAAAAAAAAAAAAAAGTATGACTTTTTATAACTGTTTATTGTTGTCGCTGTTGTCCATTGTTGTCATCATTCTTTGTTGAAATCAGGTCTCTCTTGTAAATGAGTCCTCGAGGCTCAATGGGATTTACCTGTATAAATAAAGGTTGAATGGAAAAAACCCTAATCTAACATTTACCCTAAAGTAAATAAAACTGTCAAAATGATTCAGACATTAAAATATAAAATAATATACTGTAAATCAGGAGAGTGGTGGCACAGAGATTAGAGATGGTGAGTATGTAATTGGAAGGTTGGCTGTTCAACTCCCTGGACCGACAACGTCAAAATTTGGGTGGGAAAGGTGAAGGTGAAGCACCCACACCTGCCTCCACCCTCATTTGCCTCACTCTGGGCCCTTGAGCAAGGCCCTTAACCCCCACCATCTGCACCCCCGGGTGCCTTAGATAGCAGCTCTCTGCTCCACACAGAGGGCTATGGTAGCTCGGTGGTCTGTGGTTGCATCACGGAGGGCATTCAGCATAAAAACAAACAAGTTACCGTAGATCATTGTAGCGACCCCTGAGGAATGGAGCAGCTGAAAGAAAAAGTAGAACAATATACTGTAAATGAAAATAGAACATAAAAAAAAAACTTGATGTACTTGACATGTTATGAGCTGGTAATCCGTCAAGCTGGCCTACTCCCCTGATCCAGCTAGCTGCTTTGTTGCCCAAACTTTTAAATGAGTGCATTCAATAAGAGGAACTAGTAAAATAAAATTAAAAAAGTAAGCTGTTTTATTACTGTTGCCAATCTTTTCAAATCTAAGGATGTTTTAACAAACTCAAATACAGAAGCTGTTTTGTATTTCTTTGGTTTCCAGTCTATTAACTGCTCGTCTTGTTATGCATGAATGCTGAACTCATTTGACTTCTTATCTCTGGATGGAACAAGATCCTGTTATTGGTTTACTTCTCATGTTTTAAGGCTGATTCAATATCAAAACATGCAGTTGTAACAACTTAGGCATAATGGGTAAAAATAACCCTTAAAGATAAAAACTGTTATAAATAAATATGAATATTTTGGACATTTTAGTAAACTAAGCCTCATGCAAATAATTTAAAATATCTAAATATTTGAACTAATCTGGTTTGGAGTATTCCTCTGATTAATAACAATAGTAAAAACAACTCTGTGTTTTAGTCCTCTGCACATATTGAGAAGATTGCGGACGTCATTCCTACAGTAGCTTTTTTTTAAAAAATGTTTAAGAAGAGTAAAGAGAGAGTGATTAAAAATGAAATGCACTCCTCTTCTTCAAAATATTTGTGACTTTTATGACTCAGCACTAACTCAAAAGGGCAACTCCAGTTTCTTGAAATGACAACATACACATGCACACAAATATATATATATATGTACACATATATATTTTAATATGTTTTTTACTCTTGTTTTTCTCTGCCCATAGATTTGTTGTCAAGAATTGACTTAGATGAATTAATGAAGAAAGATGAACCTCCATTCATTTTCCCCAAAACGCTGGAGGAGTTTGAATATGCCTTCAATGAACGTAAGTACAGCTCAGTTTGTCCTGCTAAAGCAAGAAAGTGTCATGAAATTTGAGAGGCACATCCTAGTTGTGGTCGATAATTTCATTTTGGGACTGGATTGAGGCCAAAACAGAATACACAACAAAATCTTACTTTTGATTTAGTTGTCATTTTAAAGTTTCCTGTTGACCTTTGACCTGTTTGCCTTTAAACTGAATGAGTGTCCACTTGCAAGTAAATCTAAAATAAATTACAATAACATGTAAAGCTAATGAAATAGCTAATAATTATTAAAATAAATACAAAAAAAGTTTTTTAAAGATTAAAAAAAGGTCAAATTAGCAGTTTGGTAGCTTATTTTATTATTAAATAGAATATGGTGATGATGAGGTCTGAAACACTTGACGTTTTATTTGGGATAAAATAAAAATATAAAATAATGAGGCAGAAGGCTGTCCAGCTTTGACAATTATTCTGAAAACCAGGACAGATCAAACTAACACAAACATGTACCAAGATGAGATAAAACAATACTAGATAAAAACAATCAAACAAATGTATAATTCAAAGTATTTGATGAGATAAAACAATACTAGATAAAAACAATCAAACAAATGTATAATTCAAAGTATTTTACACCATCTGTTAAACATGATTGAGATTACTTATACTAATAGTATAGTATAGTATTTTTACTGCCAGTTTAACTTCATCACAATTGCTTATTGGTGATGTGACACCTTTTAGAATTAAAACTTGAAATGCAATTTTTTGCTGATTATAATTTGCTTTTAATAGACATGCGTGTCCAGCATGTATTCTGCTTTTCCCCTGTTGAGGGGTTGGTAGGCTTCACCCCCCCCCCTCCCCTCTCCAATACCCCGAACAAGACTGACAGGGCACAGAAAATTAACAAGTGAGTGACAGATTTTAAAATTACTTAAAATAGGCAAATATGGTTGAATTATGCTCCCTCCTAAACGTGCCGGGGAAGAAGCGCTGCTTTGCTCTTGTTCTTTCATCTAACCATTATTATCGTCTACTATTTTCTGTCATTTTCACTGTCTTGTGCTGTCCATACTCTGTTGTAAGGTGTACACACTTGCCCTACTACTGTGTTGTCCTAGATTTCACTTACACGTTTCTTTTTTAAATTCTGTGTTGCTGTTTTTGTAAAGCCATGATCCTAGAGAAACGTTGGCTCGTTTCACAATACTGTGTTCCATCTGTTTGTGGTTTACATGATCAATAATCCAGGTTAAAAAAAATCCAACAGTGTTCAGTCAGGTCATCTGGACAGTTTTTTTTTTTTTTTTTTTTGCTGAGGACCGTTAGGTATTTTCTGTTTGACCTTTAAAGAAAATAATTTCACACAACACGGCGAGATGGGTTTTTAGCGTTCAATCCCTTTGCAAAGGGGGAGTCACCTGTTTTGTGGGTCAGTGTGAACTCCGCCGTTTTGCTGGGTGAGTCTGGTATTTATTTAGATGAAAGTGGAGCACAAAAACAGGTCAAGTTTACATGAACAAAATCTTGTCAGGATGACGGTCAGAACGTTTCAGAAGATTGAGCTTGTACAGATAGTTTCTTGATAAAACGTCTACTTGATGTAAAAACAGAACTTTCCAGAACTTTTCACACACCCACAGCAAGATACAAGATGAAATCCTAAAAAAATAAACTTTTTGTTCACTACATGTGAAACCAGATATTAATATAATGAGATAGAAACCATTTTAAAATGATAAAATAGAAAAACTCTAACAAGGACTTTCGTCCTTCATCCAAAGGACTTCATCAATTCAAAGAGCCACAAACAAAGTCAGTCCCACAAGCAGCACACTCCCATAGTGGGAAATACTAGTTTGCTGGTGATAAGATGGTTTCTGAGACTGCCATCCAAAGTGAGACTGACTTGTGGGACTGACTTTGTGTGTGGCTCCTCGGATTGAAGAAGTCCTTTAGATGAAGGACGAAACGTCTCAGCAAAAAAAAAAAAAAAAAAAAAACTCCAGATGACATGACTGACCATTGTTTGATTTTTTTACCTGGATTATTGAGCATGAACTTTGCTGTTTTCAACCACTTTGGCTATGGCAGCTTCAGAGGAGTTGACGGGGGAGAGGGAAGGCCCCAGAAACCATCTTATCCCGTTTTAACCCGTTTTTTTTTTGTTTTTTTTCTCCACTAAGTGTATATACTGCTTGTGGGACTAACTTTATTTGTGATTCCTTGGATTGATTAGGTGCTTTGGATCAAGGACGAAATGTCTCAGCAAAAAAAAAAAAAAAGGAAAGAAAGAAAGCGTCCAGATGACCTGACTGAACTTTGTTGGATTAAATAGGTAAACTTTGGCCATACCCAGATTTAACCTAAAAATACATCAGGAAGTAAAACTTGACACAGACTAGTTTGGACCTGGATGGTTTGAGAGTCTGTGAATTGTTTTCTTGGCTTGTGTTTGTCCAACCAGTTGGTAAGAAACAGAAAGAGGGGGTCGGGACGTGGTGCTGGTGATTTTGGCCCTTAGTATTCCCCTGCATTCTTTTCCCCTGTCTCTCTTATCTGTTCTGTTCTCTGTCAGTGTCTGGCTGGTTGAGTGGGGGACATGTTGTGTACTCTACGGCCCGTCAATAACCTACTCAGCCTTGGCCTCTGCCTGACGGAGAATTTGCATAACCTTGCTGTGCCAAAAAAACAGGGACTGAGCACCTGAAATTATGCAACACCCACCAACATCTCCTCCCCACCTTCAAGTCTCAGCTCAGTCTACCATGAAGAAAAAAACTCAACTCTCCACCTCCTATTCGCTATTTTTTTTTCTATCCACTCTTCCCCCTTCTTTAAAAACATAGGGTACACACCTACACAGGCACTTATTCAATTCTTCTCAATATGTTTGTCTTTTTTTTCCAAGTATATAATTTTCATTAAAGCCGTGTTGGCCCTCGGGCAACTCCTCAAGTATCTAGACTAGCAGTCATTTTAGCTCTAAAGCCTTTTTCATCGTTACACCCCTGCTACCTTAGCCCAAGACAGGTGGAACAAAAATGTTAATTTCACCATGTAATGATATGAATACAGAAGAGGCTGTGTACAATAGTTTGCAGGCATCTTAATCACTGAAGATGATGGCTTCATCTCGCCAGCCCTCCGGTTTTCCATTACTGGAAATCCAAGGTTATGTACACCTAATTAAGCGGCCAAATTGAGAACAGAATGCTAATTATGACAGAAAAAGAGGGAAAAGTTGAGAAAATGTTATTCCTTTGAGAGGTTCTGTTGGTGGAGATGGGGGAGCTGATCACCACCCCCTCTCATATATACACACACTCACACACACATGCAATCGCACACATCTTGCACCCTTTTCCGTCGTTTCTTTTGTGTGCCCAAAAACAACAACAACACACACACATACATACCACTCCTGCAGTAGGATTTCATTATTGCACATCTTCTCCCCCTCTTAGGGTTGTGGTGTTTAGATACACACCCCTCCATGAATGAATGCATAATTTATTATCTTCAAGGTACTTTTTGTGCACCCTTCTTCATACTAAGTTGTCACTTGTATCCTGCTCTGTCTCATATGCACAAATGCATTTCTAAATACATGCTACGTAATACTAAAGTCAGATTCAGGATTGCATGTTGTCTAACAACTAACAATGAAAGCAAATGGTGTAATACACAGTGAGCAGTGTGAGATTTATCACGTTGATAGAGGTTTAAAATGGTAGCAATTTAGAGGAAAATGAAGGGGAAAAAAATGCTCATAGACTTTTTTTATCTTGCAAATATGTTTATTTATACCTTAGATGGGTTTTCCCCTCACATTGTGCAATAATTGAGAAAGTATGAGCCCCCTCTGGCTATTTAGGTTAAGTATGTGCACTTTTTTGGTGATTTAGCTCTTGCACATTTCACAGTCATAAAGGTCAAAATTAAATTTAACACTGCTTAGTGTTTTATTGTGTTGCCGTGTCAAGTGCAGGATCGATGGGCTCATTGCTAAGGTAGTGGTTCCACAGCCACGGAAGGGTAATTGTTTGAAAAGTGGTACCACTTCTGAACTACATTTTGCTGCATTATCACAGTTTCATATGAGATAAATCCTCAGTGTTTTAAAAACTCTCCTAGTTTCCCACAGTTAGAATAAATGGGTAATGCAGACAGTTCCAAAGACCTTAGCAGTATGGCTCAGTAACACTGTATACAGACCTGCACTTCCTAAAGCAGATTTAATGGCACTGTTGTGTGTGTCTACACCTGGTCCTCCTAGCTGTAACTTAACATCACAGCACAATATTTTTCGTTTTGAGGTTTAATGAAAAATAAGTATGCGAAAAAGAAGCTTGAAGTTTGCTTGATTTAAATTTTAAATGCACTTTTACATTAGTACAAAGCAATGCTTACATACAGGTGGCTTTTATCATGAAAGGTCATTTTTCTGTCTCTTACAGATGGCCAGCTGCGACATATAAAAACAGGGGAACCCTTTGTATTCAATGCCAGAGAAGATCTGCACCGCTGGAATCAGAAACGCTACGAAGCTCTTGGCGAGGTAACACACTGCTTTTCTACTGGCCTTTTAGAGTCTGGTTGTTCTTACAATGTAGCTTACTCTATGTTGGTGCATATGCAAAGACAATTTTAAGAGTTTTGAAAATACAGTAGTCCCTCACTTATCATGGGGGTTACGTTCCAGACACCCCCGCCATAGGTGAACATCTGCCAAGTAGAGACTTTATTTTAGTATTTATATATATATATGTTAAGGCTCTATTAACACCCACACTAGCAATGTTCTGAACTCTCTAAATGCTCTAAAAGAGCACAGTGAAAGAGAGCAGACAGACTGATACTACGGTTTCTGAGCCAATCAGTGCCTGGGGGTGGACTGGTCATCGGGAGCACTGGAACATTTCCCGGTGACCTGCCCTTCTCAGTGATTGCTGAGGGGGATTAAAGGCTCAGTTCGGGTTGCACTGCAGCAGCAGTTTCAGCAATGGCAAAACTGCCAAGTCTGTGTGAATGTTTGGTTTGTGCTTCAAGTACTCAAAATCAGCTGATTTATGAGATAAACCACAAGATGGAAGCAATTTGTGAGAATCACAGGCCACCTGCAGCTTCTGGGACTGGCCAGTATCTTGGAGACGACCTTGGAGGAGCCTCGTAGGCACGGACCAGTGGAATGCCCACTAATCTGGCCATTTTGGATCTTGAAAGTACCAGCAGGACTCAAGGCTGAAAAAAAACAACAACAATTGTGGCTTATCTGAATCTGACTCCCCCGGTTGGCCTCAAAAACAGGCTGACTTATCAAATTTCTCCTGGACTATGTGTAAACTAAGGAAAAGCTGTGTCTATTGCCCCCCACCCCACCCCCCCTCTACAATTACTTTAAAAATATATAGTTGTACCACTTTATCACCACAAAGTGCACCCCAGACGAATAAAATGCAAACATTCACCTCTAATTCACTCTCACAGTTCCACCACTTCTAGAATGTGCAACGATGAGACAAATATTCTTTTTTAATGATTTTTTTGTTTTCGGTCTGCTTCCTTTTCTACGTTGCTTTTAATTGTTGTATACATTCTTTGATGTTCAAAGGAAAGAGATAGACCTTTTTGTGGGATTACTTGGATGTTTTTAGTCATTCTAACACAGGTATTCAGTCGCTCCTTTGAGAACCAGCCCTCTGAAGACTTCTCTCCCTTCTGTTCTTTTGCTTACTCAGACTCTATCTGCCACCATCAGAAAAAAAAAAAAAAAAGAAGCGAAATAAACATTTAGTAGCAGAAAAGCTGAGGACCTGAGAGAACACACAAAACACTTACTCTAACTGAACTTGGGCTTCTGAGCAGGGTAAACATTTGCAAGAAACAAATAATCATCAAGCGAAATGTATGCAAATTTTATTCATCCTGTGATTAAAAAAATGACAGAAGTATTTTCTTTAGAGACAGAAAAAGAAATTGGTGTCAATCCCTGTTGATACTACTTTGTGTAATGAGAACAAATATTGTGTGAGTTGTGCTTTAGGAGATTAACAGGCCGAGAAGAAAGGAGCGCCATCTGAATAAGCAATACAATGACTCTGTTGTTTTTCAGCCACACATGATTTAAGAAAGTAAAATGTGTACCTCTTACATAATTTTACAAATGTAAACAGTTTTTGTGTTTATTGTCAAGGACAGCTACTGAATTGTATGTGTTTGGTTGTAAAAGTAGGCTGCTTAGTCATGCTTTGTCAGACACACACACACAGACACACACACGCAGGTTCTGTCCAGTCTCGAGGTCGTCTAAGAGAGCAGTGTAAGATGGCACACGGCTGTGGGTGCACGTGTTTGCCCCTGGCTGTGTGAATAGAATAGCATTGTTGTTGCCCCCTAATGTCTGTTCATATTCCTTCCATTCCCAGAAATAGACCTAGTCCATCTTTCCTTCAGTTCCTTTTACTGCGTCTCGATTCTCACAGTGCCTTATTTTGCGCGTAGGACTCTGTGCGTGCGCACGTTTGCGAGCCTGTAAATGTATGTGAGGGAGCAGAGAGGGTTGGGGGGGGGGGGGGGCTGTATTGTCAGACACATCACAGCACCAGATGTCCAATTCGCACTTCAACCTTGACTGAAAGGAGGGACGGATAGAAAGAGGGAGATGGAAAACGTTGGTGTGATGGTCTGTAAGCAGAAAAGAGGATGTGAACAAAATCAGGTCTGAGCAAAAGTAGTGAGATTTTTTTTATTTTGAAGAAAGCAAAAAAATAAAAAGCTTTTGAATCTTTGCATCACAAAACTGTTAAAAAAAAGTTTTTTATAATTTGTAATTCTTGCTTCCAATAAGCTAGACTCTTGTAATTATTTTAAATGGTATCGACCAATAGTTCAGACTTTTGAAGGCTTTTAAAAAAAAATTATTATTATTTTGACAGCTTTTTCACTAATTTTCTTATAGAGGAATTCTTTTTTAATTGTTGAGGCACTTCACTTTAACCTACCGGTGTTAGTATTTCAGCATTTTCATAAACCTAAACTCAAGTAAACTGAATTATGCCTACACATAACAGACAACTTAGCTAATAACTTATTTTAAATTAGATCTTGAGGTACTTTGTTACTTAAGACACTATTTGTTTCCATTTTATTAGTTAGGTTTATGCAAAAATAACACTCATATAATAAAATTGCATTTAATTTTTACATTTTGTTAATTGTAAAGATTATGTAGAAATGATTAAACAATGTAGAAATTAGGGTAGATCAAACCACTGTCATAAAATTTGCAGACAGTGATATTCTACAGTCAAAAGTGACAACTAAATGTGAAATTCCATCAATCCCTTATATAGGTGTGTAAAACTTGCTTAGAGAAATAAGATGCACAGAAAAGCAGTAAAACAAAAGTGCACTTCTCAAATGCAGTGTACTTCATAACTAAGTGTCAAGTGTTAGTTAGTTTTCACATAAACTTAACAAGATACATACAAGCCTGAGTCAGAGGTAATGGACAACATCATTTTGATGGTTTAGGCTAAAAAAATGTAATAAATCATTTGTCTCTGTAATACTAATAGGACATGTATTTACTCATATCTGTTACACTTTGTTGCTGTTGTATTGTATTTTTTACACAACAACATGCGGTACTTCAACTGTAACTATACAAAAAGTACAATATACTAAAATCATAAACTATCACCTACAAAATATTTAGACACAGAATAACTTATTTTAGAGTTGTGTTATGTAGTAAAAACAAGCCACACTTTATAATGGTTGAACTGCAGCATGTGTTTTAAAGGTTTTATCTGTAAATCTGTACATATAGGATCGGGTCACATTGGGCCACGTTATATTAGACACATCTAGATAATTAAAGGCATTTTTATTCAGTCTGAGAATCACAATAATGAGCTGCGAACGTTTGCATTAGCCATAATTGGCCTGCTGGTCAGCTCAGTGCAGCTCAGTGCATTATGGTCTATTTCCACCAATATAATGGACAGCTTCTGTACACTTCTTCACTGAACCACGGGACCAGTTTCTAATGCACCACACAGTGGATGAAGAATTACAGGAAAAATTTGGTTACGAACGACATAATGGCAGGTACACTAAACAGTGAATGAGAGGACAATTCAAACACAGCCTATGCTTTCCTACTGTTGTTTTACTTATAGATCTGTTTGTGTGTGTGTGTGTGTGTGTGTGTGTGTGGTGGGGGTGAGCTGTCTCTATGTAATCTACAATAAACCTTATCTGTCTTTGGAGGAGTAAGAGTCTGCTACTTACCGTAGCTCCACTTTACGTTGTTAATGCTCATGAAGCATTCACACTATTGTGATCCATTTTTCTTCCGTACATTTTCCGTCATCGTTCTCGTAACACAGTTTTTGTGATATTTCAATAAATCATATATCAAAACGTTCAGCTCTTTTAGGACAATCCTGCTATGACTTTTAGTATTGGTGCAACTTTAGCTTTTAGAAATATTTAGCCTTTTCTGCCATGTTTTCCTTATAGAAAATGAATTGAGCTCATTTACCTCTTTCAAATATTGAGATCTGTTTACAACCTTTTACTGCTCCTTTTTCTGCTATTTCAGCTACTATTTAGCTGTTTTATGCTAATTTTAGCTTTTTTTGCTAATTCTACATTTTTTGCACTCATTAAAACTTTTTTCAACCCAATTCTGTGAAAATATGCTTCCTCCACTTCCTTATGGAAATTTAAGCTTATTTCTGCTTTTTTTTAGCTACTTTTCAGCTGTTTCTTTGCTAATTTCAGCTATTTTCAGATAATTTCTACTTTTTTTTTCTAATTACTGCTTCTTTCAGCCCAATTGGGCAAACGTGCTATTTCTGCTTTCTTCTAATTTAAGTTTGTTCTAACTTTTCAGCTAGCTTTTTTAAAATTTATTTTTTGCTAATTTAAGCTGTTTGCTGATAAATTCAAGTTTTCCATGTTAATTTCTTCTACTTTCAGCCAAAAAAAAATTTATGCTAATTTGAGCTCAGTTTGCAACTTAAAGCTTTTTTCTGCTATTTTCAGCTTTTTCTGCTCTTTCAGCTACTACTTAGCTCTTTTGATGCTAATTTGAGCTTTTACAGCTAATTCCACATTTTTTCTAGCTCATTTCAATTTTTTCGACTTCCTTCTGGTAGTTTAAACTTCTTTATGTCTGTTCAGCTACTTTTCAGCTATTTTTAGTACTAAATTCAGCCCCCCCCCCCCTTTTTTAGCTCATTTCCTATTTTTTGTGCTCATTTCTGCTATTTAAACTCAGCAAATGTGCTCTTTTTGCTTTCTTCTGCTAATTTATTAATTTAATTTCCATTTCATCTTCAATTCAGCATGTTTTAAGCTAATTTCAGCTGATTTTTTTAAACAAGTTATTCAGCATTAAGCAATAATAATCATTTTTGAAAGTGTTTTTTTTGTACATTATCATTTTATTATTTTAGTTTTATCTATTTTGTGACTTGTGTTGCTTTTATTATTTATTTTGTGGAACATTTCCTTGTGTTTTCACATTCAAACGTACACCAAGGAATG